TGCCTACGCTACTCTACTACTACTACTACTACCACTACTACTACTACTACTACGACTACTACTACGCTACTACTACTACTACTACTACTACTACTACTACTACTACTACTACTACTACTACTACTACTACTATACTACTACTACTACTACTACTACTTACTACTACTACTACTACTACTACTACTACTACTACTACTACTACTACTACTACTACTACTACTACTACTACTACTACTACTTACTACTACTACTACTACTACTACTACTACTACTACTACTACTACTACTACTACTACTACTACTACTACTACTACTACTACTACTACTACTACTACTACTACTACTACTACTACTACTACTACTACTACTACTACTACTACTACTACTACTACTACTACTACTACTACTACTACTACTACTACTACTACTACTACTACTACTACGACTACTTATAATAGTAATAACATGTAATAACAATCTTTCCTTTACAGTCCCCAGGGAGGCCCCAGGTGGGGCCCAGGGCGCCTGGAGGCCACAAAATCCACGAATCGATACCGGATACAAATAAACTTCTATCGTTCCTTTCCGAGCCCCCGGAGGGCCCAAGGGCGCCCTGAGGTCAGAAACTCAATGAATCGATACCGGGTACAAATAAACTGTCATCGTTGCGTTCCAGGCTCCCCTTCCTCGTCCTCCTCGTCCTCCTCGTCGTCGTCGTCGTCCTGCTCCTCCTCCTCCTCCTCCTCCTCCTCCTCCTCCTCCTCCTCCTCCTAGACCCAGGTGGGAGCGGAATGGGTGTGCCGAAAGGCATATGTCAGGAATGTGCGTGCTACAAAAAAGTCTCTTGGCAACGGCTTGGCGCCGAGGAGGAGGAGGAGGAGGAGGAGGAGGAGGAGGACGGACGAAAGGGAGGAAAGGGGGGAGAACGAGGAGGAGGAGGAGGCCATCAGAAATGCCGGACGAAGAGGAGGAGGGAGAGGAGGAGGAGGAGCCCCAGTGCTTGTATACACCACAGCGCTGGCAGCTACGAGCGCCGCGCTACGACCGACGCACCATTGCCTCTCAGAAACAGAACAAAACTGCGTCCCTGAGAGCACCACGCGGCACGCACGCAACCGCTTCCCTTCGCAAATACCACAACGTCCCTGAGAGCACAACAATGTGCCTCTAAACACCACAGTAGCCTGAGAGCGCCACAGGACGCCCGCGGTCGCCACCGGACGACCGCCGTGACGTGAGAAGGGGGGGGGGGGGGGCCGGGCCCGATCACGCTCGTGATCGCCGGGAGGTTTTCCGAACGGGCTCAAGGACCTCAATCTGGAGAAATCCTCCGCGGCGGCTCCAGATGGCGCCGAGATAGCCAGAGAGCCACGCTGGCCCAAGATGGCCTCCACGATGGTTCAAGATGGCCTCCAAGTCCGCCCAAGACGGCCCAAAACGGCCTCCGAGACGGCCCGAGAGGCCCATGACGGCCCAAGTGGCCCCCCTGAAGCCTCCAAGACGGCCCAAGAGGCCTCCAGGATCCTCAAGGAGGGCCCGAAGAGGCCAAAATCATTGATTTTCCTTCAGTTTTTGAAGGATTTGGGCACTCGCTTCTTCTCGGCTTTCCGACGACCCAGGACGGTCCAAGGCCCCCGAGACCGCCCCCGCAGCAGCGCCCAACAGGCCTCCGAGATGGCCTCAGAACTGCCCGAGGCCCCCAAGACGGCCCCAAGAGGGAACCCAGACGGGCCGAGAGCCCTCCAAGACGCCCAAAGACGGCCTTGGAACACCCCGAGAGGGCCCCATGTCGGCCCAGAAGTGCCCCCCAAACGGCTTCTTCCGACGGCGTCAGAGGGGCCGCGGGCCCACCGAGACGGCCGAAGTCCGCTCGAAGCTGGCCCAATACGGACCAAGAGGCCTCCAGGAAGACCTCCACGAAGACCAGAAAAAGACCAAAAAACTTGATTCCCCATTTTTTTTTATTAAAATAAAAAAAAATGACATTTGCTTCGCTTCGGCCTTCCGGCGGCCCGACGCGGTCCAAGACCAAAAACCTGGATTTCCTGAGTTTTTGAAGGATTGTGGCATTTGCTATTTTTCCTGCCTTCCGACGGCCCGAGACGGCCCAGGCGCCCCCAAAGATCCCGAGAGGCCCGAGACGGCCCAACAGCCCCCAAGACGGCCCAAGGGGCCTCCAAGACGTCCTCCAAGAAGGCCCGCAGGTGGCAACATGGCATCCAGGCGGCCAAGATGACCTTCAAGACGCCCACGTGTTCCCCGAATGCTTTCCAAACCGATTCGGGGAACGCGTGGCCCGGTATGGCCTCGACGCTCGGCCACGTAGGCGCTTCCAAAATGGCAGGGGCCGGCGGTGATACGCCGCGGGCGTCTTCGATCCGCCCAGGCTGACGCTCGGTTGGCGATGCGTCACTGGGTGGGCTGAAAGCTCCGGGCATCTCTGCAGCGGCGGCACTAGCTTCCTTCGCGCAACGTCGGGTTTGCCATTGGCACTACTCCACGCATTCGCCACTGCTTCTTTATCGAGGTTGCTTTTCTGAAACGTACGCAATCTCGCCCTCGGCGTAGTTCTCGCGGTCCAGGCAGTCACGCCCAGGTTGGCATTCTGCATTGACTGCTATGCCCAGCATCAACAAATCCTGCTTCCAGATCCGGCCGGCGAAACTGCATCCTCGAGACCTTCTTCGGACGTGCAGCCGAGCGCGAGCGCCTGCTGTCTTCAACGGCGCCCGAACGAACATATCATCTGAATTCCTACCGAAGCCGATCCCATGGGCGCGGCTCGGCGCGCCACTGACTCGCGGGTTTCCTCGCGCAGCTTCCTGGACTCACCTGTCTCTGCCTTTATCTGTTTTCGCGGGGCACGGACCCCTGCCCCACAGAAGAGTCACGACCTGTCTCGCGGCGCGCTCGATACTTGGCCTGGGCTGCGAACTGATTCGGCATATGATTTCGATCCTCGCCGCGCATCACCAATGCTCAGATCGTCGTGCGCCCTTTCCGGTAGCGCACCTTGAATGGCTGCAACGGCTTCCTTGCGCTTGCCATATCTTGCCATGGAGCATCGCTACTTGAAAACGTGTATGCTGCTGCTAAGCGGGCGAATTATGGCGCTTCATCCGAGCCGCTTGCTTGGCATCCACATCCTGCGCGCGCATCGTGCTGCGTGCGCTCAGACTGATGTCCCATATCCTGAAGGGTCGGTTCGCATGCTGCAGCGTTGCCATTGCCTACTTCCTTAACGCGAGGCGGAATAGTCAGTCTGAGCCGGGCGCTTGCCCTGCCGTGAGCACAACGGGCGGTTATTCCGTTCCTTCCGCACACGCATCCTCGCGATCATCCTCTTGCTGCGCTGCGCGTGCACGCCGTTTCTTGTGCGCTTATCTTTGCGGCTGCGGTTCACTTGCGTCCTTCTGACATTAGCATTGCCACACGTCCAACGGAGCGTTGCTGCTGGCATCGGCTTGCTTCCCAGGTTCGATGGCTGTCATGGTCAGACGGTTCTGCACTGCGACTAGCCAATGCTTCTGACACGTTATCCCAACCTCCTTTCGTCGCTGAATGAGGCTACCGTCATGGATTTCTCCAGTTGACTGAAGTACGCGGAATCCAGCAACCACGTTGCCCTGCTGCTCTATGAAACCATTGTCTTTGGATCCAACTCTTGGCGCTTGACGCACCACAGAAATCGACGAGTGGCGCGCGCGCACGGCTTCTTCCGAGTGCCTGCGCATGCCGCCTGAGCGCTGTTAGTGTTTGAACATGTCTGGGGACTTACCACGGTGGAAAAAATAAGAAAAACAATGCTATTGACGAGCATCGTTGGTGCATCCGGCTTCACCGACCGAGTTGTCGAAATGTAGTCTGCTACCTCGTGCGTTTCTCCCGCCAACCCTTCAATGCCATTGTTTGCGCAGCTCTTCTGTCAAGGCCATTGATTGTGCCGCCTACGTTCTTGTTTTCCGGCTTCTCTAGCGCTTCGCAATGCAGCGTGGTGCAGTTCCCATCGATGAATATCCGCTGCGCTGTCGTAGTAGATATGCGGTCCGCTCTCGGTGGTACAGATGCCAAAAGAACCCTGGGTGTTGACCCATTCCTGTAAGGTGTTGGTCAACGCCATGCTTTTTCCTGTTTGGCCTGTCCTTGACTGCCGCAGCTGAACTTCGCCGCGCGATCAACAGAAGGCGGCATGCCATCGCGGGCGGCGCCGCGCGATCGGGGAGCGAACGGCTGATCCGAGGATCCACCGCTCTGGCCACCACTGTGAACGCTGGCCGTGCAATGGCATTGTATCCCAGCGATCAGAACACATCCTAGAACTGCAACGCGGGCCCTCGATGCTGGCGCATCGGGCCAAAACGGCAGCAGCTGCAATATGTAGTAGCACAAAGCAACGAGGCCCAACTCACCAGGAGCAGGAAGCGGAGGGTGGCATGTAGGAGAAGGAGGAGGAGGAGGAGGGGGAGGAAGTGGAGGAGGAAGAGGAGAGGAGGCGGAGGAGGGGGAGGAAGTGGAGGAGGAGGGAGAGGAGGAGGGGGAGGAGGAGGAGGAAGAGGAGGGAGGAGAGGAGGAGGAGGAGGAGGGGAGGAGGAGGAGGAGGGGGAGGAGGAGGAGGAGGAGGAGGAGCAGCAGGAGGAGGAGGGGGAGGGGAGGAGGGGGAGGAGGAGGAGGAGGGGGAGGAGGAGGAGGAGGAGGAGGAGGAGGAGGAGGAGGAGGAGGAGGGGGGGAGGAGGAGGAGGAGGAGGAGGAGGAGGAGGAGGAGGAGGGAGGAGGAGGAGGAGGAGGAGGAGGAGGAGGAGGAGGAGGAGGAGGAGGGGAGGAGGAGGAGGTGGAGGAGGAGGAGGAGGAGGGGGGGGAGGAGGAGGAGGAGCAGGAGGAGGAGGAGGAGGAGGCGGAGGAGGAGGAGGGGGAGGAGGAGGAGGGGGAGGAGGAGGATCGGGAAAGGCGGCTGGCGGATGCATGATCCTCGCCCCCCCTCCCTGTCACTCCCAGCCCCCCTCCTCTGCCGCGGGCTCCCTGCGTTGGAGGGCGAGGCCGCGCGTCGAGGGCGCGAGGGGCATCACCAGCAAGCGCAGGGAGGAGGGGGGGAGCGGAGGGAGGAGCAGCAGGGAGGGAGGAGCAGCAGGGAGGGAGGAGGGGAGGAGCGGAGGGGGGAGGGGAGGAGCAAGCGCAGGGAGGAGCGGAGGGAGGGAGGAGCGCAGGGAGGAGCGGAGGGAGGATGGGGAGGAGCGGAGGGAGGATGGGCGTTCCCCGCTGCCGCCATCCCCGAACGGTGTCAGGAAGAGTGTGGGGGGTGCGGGAACCCCGGTGTTACAGTCTGCCAGCTCTGAGTCAGCCAGCGCGTCTTGGGCCAGAACATCGCGGCGAGAATGCGGGGGGGGAGCAAAGAAAAAGAGAGAGACAGGGGGGTGGAAACTCGAAGTGGCACGCCCAGAAGTGACACAGCAATAAAGCACGTTCGAAAACATCTGGATTGGCGGGATCTACCCACTTCAGATGGGAGGTCCAAGGAACAACCGGGTTCTTGCTCATTTCCGACAGGAGGCCCACGGAAAAACCAGGATGTTGCTCATGTGCGAGAGGAGGTCCAAGGAAAAACGGCATCTTGCTCATTTCCAATTGAGAGGTCAACACAAAATTATATGTTCCATTTCCCATAGGATGCCGAAAGGAAAACCAAGATCTTGTTCATGTCTGGTCAGAGGTTCAAAGACAAACCAGGATCTTGCTCTTCCGATGGGAGGTATAAGGGAAAACGGGGAACTCGATCATTTCCGACGGGAGGGCCAAAGAAGAACCGGGATCTGGCTCATTCCCGACGGGAAATCCAAGGACAAATCTGGATCTTGCTCATTTCCGATATAAGATCTAAGGAAGAAACGGTATGTTACTTGCTTCCGAAAGCGAAATCCAAAGAACAACGCATTTCCGATGGGAAGTCCAAAGAAACAACGGGATCTTGCTCATGTCCGACAGAAGATCCACGGAATAACCAGGATCCTGCGCATCTTCGAGAGGTGGACCAAGGAACAACTAATATCTCTCTTGTTTCCGACAGGAAGCCCCAGTAAAAACGCATTTCCGAGAGGCGGTCCAAGGCCTCGGTCATTCCTGATGGGACGTCCAAGATCCACGGAAAAAAACTGGACCTAGGTCATTATTATTATATATATATAAATAGTCGTGCGAAACAAAACGAAGAACAAAACAACGGGATCGCGCTCATTTCCAAGAGGAGGTCCAAGGAGCAACTGGGATCTTGCTCGTGTCCGATGAGAGGTCCAAGAAAAAAAAACATGATCTTGCTCATTTCCAATGGGCTGTCCCAGGGAAACTGGGATCTTGCTCATTTCCGATGGGAGGTCCAAAGAAAAACGGGACCTTGCTAATTCCCGATGGGAGGTCCAACAAAAAACAACCGGGAAAAACCGAGATCTTGCTCATTTCCAAGAGGAGGTCCAAGGAAAAACTGGGATCTTGCTCACTCCCGATGGGAAGTCAACAAATCAAATAGCCTTGATCATTTCCGATGGGAGATGCAAGGAAAGCCCGGGATCAGGTTCATTTCCGATGGGAGGTAAAACAACTGGTGCTTGCTAATGTCCGATGGGATGTTCAAGGACAAATGTAGATCTTGCTCATTTCCGATGGGATGTCCAATGAACAACCAAGACCTTGCTCGTAACCAATGGGAGATCCAAAGAATAATCGGGATCGTGATCATTTATGCTCGGGCATTCGAGGAACAGCTGGGATCTTGCTCATGTCCGATGGGAGGTCCAAAGAACAATCAGGATCTTGCCTGCTCCCGATGGAGGGCTGAAGGAAGAAACAAGATCTTGCTCATTTCCGATGGGAGGTCCAAGGAAAAAAAACAGGATCCTGTCCCGAAAGGAGGTCCAACCCCCATCCACCAGATTCGTCATTATCCCCTCCCCCCCCGCTAGTTATTCCTCCCAATTCCCTCATGACCATTCCATCCCTCCCTTCCGTTCCCGCCCCTGTTCCCATTTTCTCTCTCTCTCTCTCTCTCTCTCTCTCCCCCCCCCCCCTCCCTCCCGCCATTCCTCCATCCCCTCGTCCTACTCCCCGAATGGCCTGCGGAAGCTGTCATGCCTGGACACAAACGGGAAGAGTCGCGTTTGCCCACTTGGCTCGTAGGACGAAGCGGAAGAGAAGAAGGGAAGGAAAAGACGGACGACAAACATACTGATGGCGAGGACGACAGCGTGGAGGACGAAGAGGACAGCCAGTGGGGACCAGCAGGCCCACCAGGGAGAAGGCAGACATCAAGACGAGGAGGAAGAGGGCAAGTAGCACGAGAACGAGGAGGGGGACGGCAAGAGCGACGACGAGGGGTAGGAGGACGGCAGCAGGGAAGACGAGGATAACGACGTGGATGGGGAGGGGGAGAGCGGGGAGGACGAGGAAGAGAACGAGGTCATGGATAACGAAAAAGGACGGCGAGGATGACAAGTCGGACAAGGAGGAAGAGAACAGGACGGCAGGACAACGGGGAAGACGACTAGGAGAAGGACAGCGCGAGGACAGCATGGAGGAGAAAGCGGTGGACAGCAAGGAGGACGAGGCGTAGGGCGACGGGAGGAGGACGACGAAGACCGGGGGGATGAGGGAGGAGGGGGAGGAGGAGGGGGAGGAGGAGGAGGAGGAGGAGGGGAGGGGAGGAGGAGGAGGAGGAGGGAGGAGGGAGGAGGAGGAGGAGGAGGCGGAGGAGGAGGAGGAGCACGAATGGAAGGACGTGGACAAAGTGGGGATCCTTGGGACCTCTCGGGGCCACCCTGGAGGCTGACGGGACCGTCTGGGGGTGTCTTGGGGCCCTCTTCGGCCGTCCTTGGCGCCCCCTTTGGCCGCCTTGGGGCTCTCCTGGGTCGTCTGGGGGTCCGCTTGGGAGGCCTCTTGGGGGTGCCCTGGCGGGGGCTGGGCGTGTCGCGGGGAGATCTTTGGAAGCCCTCTCTTGCTCGGGACCCTCGGAACGCCTGGCAGCCTCCTTGGAGCCACTTGGGGCCCTCGTGGATACAGGGCAGTTGTTAGTACATAGATTAATACATGGGATACATGATTCATTTATGAGTAAATGTACGCATGAGCTCCTCGTTGTTTTTGATACCAAACCCCTGCATTTCTAATGATCCGCACGCGGAGCATGTATTAACAACGGCACTGTACCCAGAGGCCTCCTAGAGCAGATGGGGTCGGAGCAGATCGCGCCGCATCGCCGTTACATCGGCGATGCATCGGTGATATGCAGCGGCGGTGCACCGGCGATGCATCGTCGACACGGGCGATGCATCGGCGACGTCGACGTGAAGCAAATCGGGCTCCGCATCGTGCCGCATCGGCGATGCATCGGCGATGCGGCGCGATCCTCCGACCCCATCTACTCCGACCCCATCCAGGAAGCCTAGAATACCACGGGGGGGCCTCTTGAACTCTCTTGGACCGTCTAGAGGTTATCCGGGGGCAGATCCAAGACGATGGCGACTAAAAGTCCCCTCGGAGCCGAGCGTGCTGGAACCGACACCGCCTCCCCCACCTCCCTCCCCGCGTCCCCAGCGCCCCAGTGGGGGCTCCGCCCCGTGCCCCCTCCGCCCCGACAATTTTATTCCGCGTCGCGACGCACACCACCTCCCCCCCCCACCAGTCCCCAGCGCCCCAGTTGGACCCCCGCCCCGTGGCCCTCTGCCCCAAGCCCCGCCCAATGCCCCCTCCGCCCCGACCATTTTGTTCCGCGTCGCGACGCACACCACCTCCCCCCCCTCCTCTCCGCGCCCCCAGCGCCCCAGTGGGACCTCCGCCCCGTGCCCCCTCCGCTCCGAGCACTTTATTCCGCGTCGCGACGCACGCCACCTCTCCCCCCCCTCCCCACCTGGGATTTGGGCCCCGTTGCTGGGCCCCGAGGGGCCTTGCCCCCTCTTCCCCCCTCCTCCTCCACCACCTCCTCCTTCCCCTTCCTTTTTGTGCAAGAGCCATGGCTCACGTGCCACTTGTTTTCTGCGCTGGTTTATGGACGGAACGGGACCCAACATATGACTGGGGACATACGTCCCCTCCCGCGACGGCCACTGCTGGGATTATCAAAGATTCCGAAGATTCTCCTGATTTCTGAAGTTTCCGGGCGATTTGTAGGATTCCTCCGCTTTCCCACGGATTCCTCAAGGTTCTTAGCTCAGGAGTTCCTCAGGATCCTTTAGGATTCCTAAGGACCGGAGAATCCGAAGGATTCCTCAGGACAGGACTCCGAGGAATCCCTGAGGTTCCTAGGGATTCCAAAGATTCCCAAGAATTCCTGGAGGTTCCTAGGATTCCAAAGACTCCCTTGGGATGCCCATGGATTCTTCAAGATTCGTATGATTCATTGGGACACTTACGAACGCCTCGGAATCGCTGGGGGATCCGTGCAAAATAGACCCGAGGGTATAATCCGCCAGGAACAATAACCACCCAACCATACCCACAGGCGAAAAGAAACTGAAAATAAGTCCGCCGGCGGATTATGCGGTTCAGTATCAGCAGCATTACGTGTATAGTGCAGCAAGGACCATGTACAAACTTAGCTGCTGGGCAGCTTTCGCAATCAACCGCACATAGTATAACGGTGCGGGCGGGTGTATTTCGAACAAATCGAGGACGGAAACGATCAGCAACAACTCGACGGGCACAACAGGGCGGACGTTGAGACAGTTGGAAACAAGGTCATGTGAAATTAAATTACCATCCTTTACGACGATGCTCGACATTCCTCCCGCGTGTAGAAAGTACCCCACGGCGCCGCTGGAAGCAACAACCACACAACAAGCACGCAACGAACAATAGTGCGTAAATGATTACACGCACGCCAACAAACGAACTGTGGCGATCCCTGACTGCGCATGATTACCCGCGCGACCCCCATGTGACAAAAGACGGGGCTTTGGGGGCCGAAAGGCAAGCGACTTCAGCAAGGGGCACCCCCGCAAACCCGACACAACCGTCCAAAGGAGCTCCAATGGACGGGGGCAGGCTCCGACGAGCCTTATCCAGCTTCCTCAGCTGTAAAATGGATTATAAAGTTCGGCCTCCGCGCCTATGTCCACAATTAGATCCTGTTTGACGGGGATTTAAACAATAGAGGGGGAAAGGTGGGGGTATGTTTTCTTATCGCCCGCACTCGGTTATCTCAAGTAGATGGTGCCGCTGGAGCGGCAGAAGGACAATTGGAGCCAACGTCGCCAGCTTCACCACGCTGGGGAAGCGCGAAACCACCAATCAACAAACGAATAAAAGCGCACGGGCCGACACCAAAAAACAACGACATACAACACAACAGACACAATGATAACACACAGAAGCGCCCCGCAAGCGCCGATTGATCGCGCTGTCCATGCTTGGCAGTGGTCTCGAAACTACACTTCTCGAGATGTTCTGTCTCGCGTGGTGGTTTGGGATAGGATATGTTACTTAGGCAT